CTGATATTGAACGGCCGATGAGCTAGCCAGAAAAGGTACCAATATTGTAGGTGTAAAACCAATCCTACGCTTCATAGCAGCTTCAAAATGGTTCTAGCTTCATTGAGCGACAGTCTTTGACAGAGCTGATTTAAACTCAAAGTCTTCTGTGACACCGCTGGTATTTACACTAATCTCTAAAAAAAAACCTCAGCAGTTTTATAGTCGCGCTCAATACAAACTATATCAGTCATCTAGTTAAAAAATCGCTGGCCTTAAGCAACTAATTTTGAATTCAGCAATATTTTTCACAGGATTTTTATAGCCGCATCACACGAAATGCCGCTTTTGGGCGGCCTAAAAAAAAAACGATATCTTGTTATCTGTTAGGCGGAACCTGAAAGATAAAAATAACGGTTCTAAGTAACTACCACAACCAACCTACTGGAATATTCTATACACCCTAGGAACAACTTTTCATATTTCGTTCTTTTAATGGTCTCCCTACTATGCGCCTTGTGCGATATTTGCGGTATGCGCCCTAATGTTTTCACACAGCTTTAGGTCGCCTGCTTTGTGCCTATAGTTTTTTATGAGTACGTTTTTCATGACAGAAATACACTGGCAAGTTAAACTTATGTTCAAACTTTCCAAACATCGAAACTACAACCATTGTCTCTCGTTTTTGCTACGTCAAAGGGAAAGGAACCCACAAAAGTTATTAACACATGTAATTATGCCATAGAAGTTGCGCAAGCAAATGCATAATTCTAACACGAAATTTTTTCTTCGACCCATAAAAAGTTTTAGTTCCAAAACGAAATCTTATGTAAAGTCTGCGTACACACATTTATACTCACCAGCAAAACTACGTATACCCAAGCAATTGGATGGATGCAGTTGTCGCAGTAAAAATTTGCAACATGCCTCGCGTACTGAATGAATTTGCAACAAACTGGAGGCGGGCAACAACACCTGCACATTGTCCTCGGTTATGGTGATCTCACCGGTGTAGGTGTAATCGATGAGTTGACGTAGCGCCGTAACATCGACATCGTGCAAACGTACGGCACCCTGATTGCGCTCCAGCATGTCGTCTGGAAAAGAAAATATAAAAGTCGGTTTAATAAGAAAAAATATTTAAATAGCCTTGAGTACGAGTACTTTGTATTCAGTAGAGGTAAGCAGTAAATAAATATTTCATAAGCTACATACATAATGCAACTCACCATTGAACATGGCATAGAAATAGGGTGACACCGAAGCAAGCACCACTTTGTGCGCCTGTATAGTTTCGCCACCCACTTCCAATGAGACATCGCAGAGCTAGAAAGACGAGAAAATTGTTTGTGAAAAAAGCAGTTACTTATAAGACAATGTTATAGTACTAAGTAAAAAGCTTCAACGACAGTTACGGCATCAACGCTTGCTCTTGTCTAAAGGGAAAAAATTATGTTAAGGATTAGAGTGATAACACAGAACTAAATTGTACGGTTTAGCAGAAGGTTTCCCCTGGCACAGCTTTATTGATTTTTTTTTTTTAATTATAGACAATTACAAATCGTAAAAATAATTTTTCACTTAAATAGGACCCACCAGAAAAGCAGTTATTTTGTGAAATGTCGATACGTCTCCGCATACATTTTTTCAGATACCCAGACACCCTTCTTCACTTCGCAGACTCATTATTAAGCCTTTACACCGGCATTATCCGCTCTATACTTTCACCAAATTTTACTGCAGTTTTGACCGAACTTAAGAGTTTGTATTCAGCATTAGCCATAAGTAACTTGAAACCTTACAATTCTTTTATTTGATCCCCATTTTTCTTTCATTTCATTTTGAATTGTGTCTGGCCATTTTGTCTGTTTTAGTTTTTTGGATGGTTCAGGATCGACATTCAGTAATATATGTAGGTGTTTATGTACTGTGGTCCACCAAATTTCTCAAGAACTCTTGTAGGCTGGTTTCAACTACACGGTTAAAAATTTCGGTTTCAATTTAAAACTTTTTGGACTACCTACATATATGACCAAACTAAATTCAGTTTGGAATACAAGCCTTTCAAGTTTAAAAAAAAAAAAGAGTACATATGTTGGGTTTAGAATTTAAACAGTTCGGTTTAAATTTTAAACCCAAACATTTTCATAATTAAGAATAAAAAATAAAAAATAAAAATGTCTGATGGGGATCGAACCCTGACAGCCTTGGTAGCAACTAATTGTATCAAGCATCTTTGCACACTCAGCTACAGCCAAGCATTTAAATGTGCTTCCATATGTTGAGTTTGAATCAACGACACATTCTCTATTTCGGTATATACATATATGAAACCTAGGAACTAGTATTGAAACATTTTTGTTTGATTTTTAAACCACGTACTTTTTGGATTAAAATTTAAACCAGAGTATATTAAGAATTGATTAAAACTATTGACTGGCTTAAAAAGTAGACTATAAAAGTTTAAAAAAGGCAGTAGTGCCAGCGCGGTTTAAAAATTAAACCCAAATTTTTGACCGTGTGTTTCTAATATTTCCAGTACCAAATTGCGAAGCAGTGTCCAAATTGGGACAATGTCGAGCCGTTGGACACAAAGTAATGAGATTAATTTTCGTGTGATCCCTTAAATCTGATGTTGGAAGGTTATGTTGCAAATCTGCAGCCAGTGTTTTTTTTTTTTGCGGGCAGGTATCGAACAAAGTAAAAGTGGCTAAAAGTGGCTAAAAGTGAATGAAATAAATACAAAAGTGTTGCATGAAACGTGGAATTTTCTGGATGCCTGACTAAGCCGATTAGCCATTGCTGTGGTACTCTTACAATAAACGCAAACTTTTTCCCCATTCCCATATGCCAGTCTGACCTAACCTGCCTTAATCGCGTGCATAATTTAACACTGCTAAGTCATTGATTGATTACACATTTTTAAAGCTTCTTCTACTAAAATGTTATAACTTGCCATTTTTTCTATCCTTTGGCACTTCTTTAAGTCATTTGCGCACTTACGTAAGTCGCTCTCAAATGCTATTGACACTGACTGGCTTGTCGCATTCGAAAATCCCCTATGGCAGGGTAGACATATAAAGTTATAAAAAATAGCAGTACATATAGACATACATATGTATGTATGCACATATGTATGTAAGAATTTGAACACATATGTAAGAATACAGTAAAGCAAGGGCGACAAATGCTCTATTACTCTGGAGGATTCACATGTCGCCGCATTTGTATTGACATTCAATACGAGTTGTCTTTATGTGAATGCAGGCGCTCATGCATATATGCATGTCTATACTTACATACATATATATGTATATATATACCATAATGAATTTCTAAAAAAGTTTTTAATATAATTCTCTACTAACTTGTGTGGTGGCATGCAACGTGTGATAGATGACACTTTACGCTTTGTAACTCCATCTAAGTGCTCATTTGCTTTTCGCAATGACCTCCTCTTGCTATTTGCATATCGCATATTGTTCATGAATATACATACATATATGTACTATGTATATATATATGTATGTTTGAATAATCGACTTTAGAAGTTGACAGAGTTTGTGGTTGCTAGCAAATTACATCACTCGCAAATGAGCGACGAATATTCATGTTTGTTATATAACGGTATTCATATGTGCGTGCATGTGTTAGTGTTAAAGTAGAAATGGTTCTGAATTTACCTTGTATTTAAAATGGAGTTATCCTTTTTACCTCATTAAAAATATAATTTGTTATTTCTTTAAGTTGAATTGTTTTTTAATATGACTCGAATGCGGTCGGTAATAGGCTTGACTAAAAAGGTTAATTATTCATTTTTATGTAATACCAAATATATCGAAAATTCTCTAAAGTACGACAGCGGGTCCCAGTGTTACGAATATAAATGTTACACTTTGCCCTCAAAAGTAAATAAAAAACAATGTTGCATACTCCTATACACATTTCAACAAGTTTAAATTTGAATTCCGTCTAGCGTGGCAAACTAATTTGAGCCTTTTCATCGTCATACATGCGCCTCTAAGTACATAGAATATCTTTGGGAGCCTTAAAATCGCCCAAGGGATTTTCGTGTACAAATTACATGGCAGAAAAGTGGAATTGTTTAGCTTGTTAGGTAAACCCGTTTTAAATACAGCTATATGTGGATGTGTAATTGTAAGAGAGCGCATTTCTGAAATGGTGAATCTGTACAGGGTCTATTGATTGTACATATAGTTTTTTTTTTTAGTTAGACAAAATGTGATCGCAACTGCCATATAATTTTGTTACAACCTTTTTTTCAAGCTTATCAGAGATTTTAACGTTCCAGTCGACATTTTTGATGTGAAAGTGTTTTGGTTGGGAAAATTGCACTCTTGCTTTATCATTGCCATGCCTGTTTTGTAGAAATAAACTGACAGTATTTATAGCATCCATACTGCATAGACTCTGTAATCGGCTTAGATAAATATAAATCTAAATAAATATAACAACAACGGTGTTGATACCGACAAGATTTTCGATATATTTTTAAATATTTAAAAAATGTCATAGGAATATTTATCGATATCATTCTCTACAACCTTTTTTTATCGATATTCTATTGATACTGTAAACCTCCCTCGGACACAAATGATTTTTCTTTATTTCGATAACTACTATATCGGTATTTATGAATATCGATTGTTTAGAATGATAACTGTAAAGTTATCGATAACTATATGGATAAGTATGTCAATAACGTTAACGAGTTTTGATTTTTTGCTAAAATCTGTATTGGACATTTCACACTAAATCGGACACCTTTTGGCTTATGCATCCACAATTTTTTCATAATTTTTTATCATTTCGAGATATGGAGTTTGAAAAAAATGCCCATAACCTTTCGATATATGGGCCTATTAGGACCTTTTTTATATAAAACTTTTCTTTTCACAAACACTATTAAAATATAAAATCGAATACATTTTCAAAACCGTATTTCTACAAAATTTTCTATTTTTTAATATAAAATGTTGATATCCAAATGCATTTGCTCATCAATTTTCGTAAAATTTTTTTTCTTAAAAACTTTCACTCATGCAAATCACTTTCGCGTAATCAATTACCTTAAAGTTTGATCGTACATGGCGTATGAGTAACATTATTTCGTCGTCATATTTCATACAGAAAAAGGAACAGTCCAGCGCCTTCGTCTTGGTCTGCAGGCTGTATCTGAGATACAGCCGCTAAATTTAAACGTAGAATACGTGGTATGGTTAAGAGCATATCAAAGTCAAAAGCGAAAGTACACACTAAGAAAAAAATATCGATAACAACAGCGATAATAATATGGATAGAAAAATCGATTAAAAATAACGGTAATAAAACCGAAAAAAATACTGATGACAAAATAGATAAAAATATCGACAACAAGATCTATAGCAAAATCGATAAAAATATCGATAACAACATCGATAAAAATATCGATAACAAAACTGATACAAATATAGATAAAAATATCGATAACAAAATCGATAATAAAATCGACAGTAAAATCGATAACAACGTCGATAACAAAATCAATCAAAATATCGATAACAAAATCGATAAAAATATCGATCATTATATCGATAAGTTCCGAAAATATCGATAGCAAAATCAATAATAATATCGATAAAAATTTCCATAACAAAATCGATCACAAAACCGACAAAATATCGGTTATTATATCGATAAGTTCCAAGAATCCCGAAAATCTCTAAAATCCAGAAATAGTTCCCAGATTGAGTCTCTGTTCCTCTATCTATATCCTTTTCTCTACAACTACCTTTATTTGAATCTTTCTTCCTCTATCTTCATCTATACTTTTATCGGTATCCTCATCCGCATCTTTTTCTTTATATTTATCTTTGTTTTTATTTTTATGTTTATCATATTCTTCATATACATATTCCCCTTCACCTGTTCCCCTTATATAAGTAAAGTGTTCAAATTTACCTTGGGCTTCATTTTTGCCTTTATCTTTGCGCAACTTTGTTTTTGTTTTTATTTTTACCTTTGCCTTTATCCTTATCTTTATCTATGTACGTACTGACCTTTACTTTTATTCTTGGATTGGTCTTTTTCAAGTGTTGTTTCACTTCAAAAAGTTTTCGCGTATTATGCATACATGTGTTCATAGATATATGTATGTACATATGTATAGACATACATAGATTACTAAAAAATTGAGCCAGATCCACATTAACTGCAATCAACATATGTACGTATGTATGTATTTACATATGTACGGGTACATACGCTGTGATTAGGTTATAAATATTGGTCCATTTGTTTATCAAAAACCGAAATATGTACTTACG